CATTCTGTTTGCAATTCTGTCGGCATTCTTTTTTTTTTTTTTTTTTTTTTTTTTTTTTTTTTAATTTTTATTTAAGGAGAAAAGAAAAGAAAGAAAAAAAAAACAGTGAAGGGGTACAAGTTATACAGATTTACAGAATAAAAAAATGCGCAGTAGGAAATCACTAGTTAATGGATTACATATTGCCATCTTAGAAATAATTGTTCAAGTCATAAAATTAAAGCTTGTAGAGTGGACATTCCACCAATGATACTGCAAACATTTCCGCTCAATGATCCAATAAAACTCTGTGATATCATTTTCTATCTTATACTTTTAAATATACATGCAGTTATATAGTTTAGAGCACTTTCTTTTCCTCTCTTTTGTACAGTGACTATTACACATTTTGGGTTTCATTGCTCCCACGGTTCTTGTTGCTTTTTTGGAAGAGAGTAAAACCAAATGTGACATAATAGAACAGAATCGGTCAAGTCAAAAGGGTGGACATAATAGATAATATAAAAACATAATACAAGGTGATCAACAATGGTTACCCTAATGCCTCCCGCTATTTCTAATAGAATTGCCTATATCATTAGTTGTAATACAATTGAACAAAACCGTAAAGAATAAAACTGACAAAACCAAAACATTGGAGACATTGTAGGTCTTCAAAAGTAGATAAAAGTTAACGAGAATGGGCGTTGTAATGAATCTCATTATCTTCTCAGCTGATGCCTAAACTTTCGAACCTGATACTATCCAGCAAAACAGAATATAGGAACCTCAGTCAAAAACAAGATGGTGAGAGCAATACAGGGCTTCAAATCGAGATAATAGAAAGTCGAAGTGGGTTACTATATTATATCCTGCTATATTTTTCCCTGTAATTAAATGGGTAAAAATAAAAAAGTAAATAATGGAGTGGAGATTGAGAAAAAAAAGGGCATAACAGCGAAACAGGGCAGATCAAAACATAACCATTTAAGCAGAACAGTGTTTCACCACCAGCTAATCCTGACCCAAAAATAGTTACCATATTGACTCCCTCCCTGAAGTCCTTGAGTACAACTTCATACACTGTAGCATTAAGTATATCAAAACAATGTATATCCATTTAAGAGAATAACAGCATTACAGAGCATTTAGAATCGACCAACAGAAAATGAACAATGGTCTCTGTATAATCTCCTTGTCTTTAAAAGGTTTTTTCTTATATTATCGTACATAGTAAAATCCAATAAGATACAACCTGTTTAGACCATTGGAGACAGAAGAACAAAAGCTAGATGAGACCTCAAAACAAGATGGTACTAAATCAGCATTACCTATTAAGATGTCATTTTCTCCAAAAAAAGCTGTTCCTATCATCCAATCTTCTCTGTCTCATTTCTGTTGAGCTCTTTTTCTGTCAGTAGCTGTCAGTTTGTCTTCTTCGTTTTGGTCTCTGCTCTATTCGTTGTGGCCTCCCCGCCCCTATTTCTGGGTTCTTTGTATTTTTCTTTTTTTAGAATATCCTGCAATACTTTCTGTAGGGTTGGATTGGTGGTTGCAAATTCCCCCAGTTCCTCTTTATCTTGGAAGCACCTCGTTTTTCCATCAATTTCCAGGGACAGTTGTGCAGGATATCTCAATCTTGGCTGTAGATTATTATCTTTCAAAGCTTGAATTATTTCTCCCCATGCTCTTCGTGATTTGATGGTTTGTGAAGAGAAATCTGCTGTAATTTTGATGGGTCTTCCCTTGTAAGTGATCTGTTTCTTGTCTCTTACAGCTTTTAATATTCTGTTCTTGTATTGAATTTCTGGAATTTTTATTATTATATGCCTGGGTGTTTCTCTGTTAGGGTTGTAGGTAGCTGGGGTCCTGTATGCCTCATACATTTGAGTATCTTTACCTTTTGCTAAATTAGGAAAATTCTCCTGGATTATTTCTGTGAGTAGCTTTTGTAGTTCACTTGTTTGTGTCCCTACTTCTTCTTTTATGTTCTTAATCCTTAAGTTATGGCTCCTCTTATCATCTTCTTGTCTTTGTATTATTGCTGTGTGTTTCTTTGTTATTTTTAAGAAGTTTTTCATTTCATTCTCCCATGTTTCAAGTCTGCCCTCCAATTCAGATAGTCTGTCCTTAGTTTCTTTCAAGCTGTTATGCCAGTCTTGGGTATATTTCTTGATTTCTTGATAGTCCCTTTGCACCTGCTTCACATACTCAATGCTTTCTCTGTTTTCTCCATCAAGCAATTCTCCCCTCTTTTTCTGTTCTTCCACTCCACCATCTGCTTTTTCCTGGGTGGTGCTTAGCATTTCTCTAACTATTCTGCATACTTCTAGCTTCAGGTCATTGATAACTTCATTCCTGAATTGGTCTATGAGGCTCTCTAAATGGCGCTTAATGTATATTGGTACAGTGTCCACTATTGCCTGATTCTCAGGATTGGGGGTCGAGGAGCCTTTTTTGTTGCTTCCCTTCCCCATATTTTCTGTTCTTTATAAAATGTAATCTTACACAGGAGGCCCGGCTTCCCTGCCTGTCAGCTACAGCTTGATCGAATTGCGCTGGCTAGTTGTTCCCGCTCACCGCTGCGCCCCAGGGAGTTGCGGAGGAAGCAGCCTACGCGGAAGTCGGTGGCTCCTCCGGGCCACCGTCAGGCTCTGGGATCTGGGCTAGGCCAGCCTAGGGAGTCCGCAAGCAGCGTCCCTCCGGCCAGGCACCTTTCACCAATCCCGTCCGAGAGGGAAATGCGCGGCTGCAGTTGCCGCCGCGCCCTGCTCTTACAGGACTGCCCGCGCCCAGAAAATCCTCCGCTGGAGTCAGACTGCGGTAGGGAGTCAGTTCCTCGCTCACCTCGCCACCAGTCAGCCTTCCTTCCTGCCCGTTGCGTTTCCGAGACCGTTCCCAGACGCCCGTTCCCAGAGCTCGGGGGTCGCGTCTCTCCTTGCCGAGCAGCTGTGGAGGTGGCCGGCCGCTGCGCGGCGGGAAATCCAAACCGCGGTTTCCGATGGCGCGGAGTCGAGTCTCCACACCGAGATTTTTCTGTTCCTATTTTAGCGCCAGGGCTGTATTCCAAGTTGGATTCTCTCAGCCCAGTTCGTTCCTGAGTCAGCAGAGCATATCTCTACTGGTTCGTATCTCCTTAGTCCGCATCATTCCTGGCCTCTGAGCCGAGCCTTTAGAGAGCGTTCAGCAGTTGCTGTTGTCTGTCCGCCATGTTTTCAGGAATCCCGGCATTCTTGTTTTATTGATAAATCTTGCATCTATTTTCATTAGGGAGACGGGCCTGTAGTTCTCCTTTTTGATTGGACCTTTCTTTGCTTTAGGTAGTAGAATAACATATGCCTCCAGGAATGAGTTAGGGAAAAGTTTCTTTCAATTTCATTGAAGAATTTGAGCAGTACTGGTATTAAATTTGTTGTATAATTCAGGTGTGAATCCATCATGACATGTGTTTTTCTTTGTTGGTAAATTTTTAATTATGAGAAGCCATGCTAGATCTTGAAGGACTGCAACAAGAAGCCAATTTGTCTTTCTTGTAAGCCACAGGAACCAAGCAGGGCCCAGGAAGAAATAAGCCAGTTTACACTTTGAATGAATCAATTGGCACATAGCCTGAGAATTAAAAATCCCCCTTTCCTGGTAAGTGGCTGGCTGGCTTTTAGAACAGGCTGAGTAGATAGTAATTTAGGTATAAAAACAAACAAATGTTTATATTGTTTGATTGACTTTGCCTGTGTAGGGTCAGGAGTTTGGGTTTTTATGGGGAGAATGACGGTATGCAGCATGGCAGATGAGGGAATTTCCTTCTGTCTTGTTTTTGAAATTCAATATTGTTCTTGCATTATTCCAATTTATGTTTTTATTCTGATTTATTTTTTATTCTGAATTATCATTTTTATTTTAGTGCTTTGTTTTGATTGATATTGTTCTGTTTTGTTTTGATTTTGCTAAGTTCTCCCCTGCCATGCCCACCTGTTGTACAGCCCTTGCCTTGGAGTCAGATGACAATGGACTGACACTGTGAGCTCAAACATAACTTTTTTTGGCAACTTGAAGGTTTCAGATTTTTTTCCTGAGAAAAGACAAAGTAAGATATGTAATGACATTTGTATTTAGTCCTATTTACTTGAAAGGCTGAAGCAAGAGGATCATGAGTTTGAGATCAGCCTGAGTAATGTAGTGAGTTCCCTTCATAAAAATGCTGCCAAAGTACAAAGAACTAAATACTAAGATTATTTTGCTCTAAATTCTGTATACTCATCCAATTTTTTCTCTGTTTGTGCAAGTTTACACGTTTTATTTTATTTCAGATAATTTATAAAATTTTATTTTGCTCCAGAGAATTTACAAAAGTTTGTATTTTATATTTCACAGTATGACAAGAACATTGAATGTTATTGCATATACTCTATCCATTCTCTGTAAAGGTTGAATGCCATGTAATTGTATTTATTCACTTATTTACTTAGACAGGATTTCACTATGCTGCCCATGATCTCACTGAATTCCTGGACTCAAATAATTCTCCCACCTCAGCTTCTTGGGTAGCTAGAGTGAGCATAATGCCATGCCTGGATAACTCTATAATTTTAAGGATAGATTTACTAACTGGTAACCATTTAAGTTCTAGAGGTAACATCCTGTATCCAAATAAATGTGTGTACAAGTATTTCTGCATCCTAGCTTACTAATGCAGAATTTTAGGGTCAAATAATTGCTTCAATTTTATTTGGCAGGATTATTCCATGTTATGCTCCCACAGAAATTTATTTTTGTTGGACTGGATGTGAGACTTGGTTGATGGTTTTCTTATCAGTAAAGGTAATTTTCAAGTTGGACCAATTTTATCATAAATTTCATTTGTGACATGTGTCTTAATGTAGGCTCTTTGGAAATTTTGTGGTTTAACGTTCATATGATTTACTTAAATTTTATATTATTTGTACTGCTGCTAATTATAGCCTACATCACTACCTCTGGACCTAAAGAGAATGATTTTAATGTAATTGTACATTCCTGCCACTCTGCACAAAAATGAAACTAACGTAAGCTAAATATGTACAAAATCAGATCTATACTCTGCATAGGCTTTTTCATGTTATTCATCCAAAAATACCTTGTAAATCACAGTTAAGCTAAGTATTTTGTTATAATTTGTAATATCAGCAATATTTTTCAATAAGCACCATTAATCTTTTATTATTTTTACATTCTCCTGTCTCTGATTGAAAATACTTCTTACTCATACATAGGGATTATATCCCAGGAAAATGAAATTTGACTTAAAAAAGTAATTTGTCACAGAAGTAAGGAATCTTCTGTCATAATCTCTTCTTCCTGGAATAAACTGAAGGAAGTACATCCTTCAGGACTACCAACTTCGGGTGAAGATACAATTATTCCCTTTTTTTCTTCTTTCCGGTTTTTGCAAACTTGTGGCAGCAAAACAGACAACATTTTGTGACAATAAATATCACAGTGGCCACAGAGGCCAGCAGGAACCCAATCACATCCAAAGAGTGGTACTGGAACCAGGAGAGATCATGGGCTGCAACTCGCAGGTGCTTAGCCCCTTTGTGACGCATGACAAACTCGATCCAGAAGACTGCTCGGTCCAGGGGCTTCACTGGCTGGTCGTGATGAATTCTTGATAACCTCATGGCATTTTCTTTATAGCTACAGGGGAAACAGAAAGACCAATATTGAAAGCTGGTTGATTTGTCAAAATCTGTCAAAGGTTTTCTGAAACTTCTGTAAAGATATGTCAAAATACGTGCCAAGAAATAAAAAATTAAAAAGGCAGTAAAAGTGATATACTATGAGATAGGTCATCTTAGAACATTTAGTTTTTACATTGAAGTTTCCTTCTAGAAATTTGTTTTATCCATGTGTGTTTCATGAGAATTTTTCATCTTGAAGTTTTTGAAGAGAAATTGAAATTGTAGTGTGGGAAATTCTGGCAAAGCAATGTGCTTTCATTCTTTTTCTCCCTTCTCATTATTTCCATCCAGTAGTATTTTTTTTAAAATCACCTCAGACTAGTATAGTACAATGTGCAAAATTTTCATCTCCTGATTTTATTGAGAATAACATGTAGATCATTTTTCGAACCCCCTGGCCATAGTGCCATGTGCAGGAAATGCTCCTTTCCCATAAACATTCCCTTCCTTATTGTTGTGTTCACTTTATGTCTGCAGAATTTTAAAAACACTATAGTTTGTATAATAGAACTTTACATATAAAGTTTTAGTAAAATGCCCCACCCCATTAATGAATAGCTTACTATTGTTATATAACTGGGTTGGTAATGATTGTGAAGTAAAGATGTCGAGATGTCTATGATCGAATCATGATTTTAGTTGTCAGAGTTCTTACAAGCACTACACTTTTGTGGATGTGTTTAGCATTAGTTTTTTATTCAGATTAAGAATGGTTATGACTGCCAACATCATGCTTTTTATTTATTGTTTATAAATCTGCACAGTATAGCATGTACTCTTTTGAGTCTATTTGTGGCAGTTACTTAATTCCATTGTATTTAGTTACCACAGATTATCATCTCTTTATTTTATGATTTTGGAAATTTTAATTTTAAACATTTGCTCACTTATAATGCATTTAATTTTACACACTCTTGCTTTTTCATTTCACATATTTTTGTGTTTTACATGGTTAGGAATTAAATTCCTTGATAAAAATGTATGTGCAATTATAAATTTTAGCTGAATTTGAAATATGTAAAAGTGTATTGATTAATGTGGGGAGCTGCTGAAGTTCAGATTGAGGCAAACCTCAAGAATAAAGACACAAAGCAAACTGTAACAGCTGGCAGGGGCTTGAATTAAGTTCCAAGCCTAGGGCATGCGTGGGTTGAAATCCAGCACACAAGGAGGCCTTGGAACTTCATTTGCAGTTGGTAAGACCATATCCAATATCTGAAATCACTTAAAGATGCCTAGGAGGTCCAAGCAGGCCTAAATGGGCCACACCCAGCAAACTCCAAGCAGCTGGCATGGGTGCAAATTAATTCCCAGGCCCAGACATGTGTGGGTTGAAACCCAGAACACAGGGAGGACTTGGAATTTTGCTTGCAGGCAGTAAGACCATGCCCCATGTCAGAAATTATCCAAGGATGCCTGTGAGATCCAAGCCAGCCTAACTGGGCCACACCCAGCAAACTCCAAGCAGTTGGCAAGGGCCAGAATTAAGTTCCAGGCCCAGAGCAGGCGTGAGTTGAAACCTAGCACACAGGGAAGCCTTGGAACTTCACTCCCAGACTGTAAAACCACAATCCAGGTATGAAATCACAGGAGGTCACATGGAAGATGCCAAGGGCCTAACTGGCCCATGCTCAGTGAACTCCAAGTGGCTATTGTTGTCTACTGTCTGCCCTGGGAGCCAAATGTGGGGCAGGTGATTCTGAATGCATGAGGGAAACCTTGAAACATCACTCAAAATCTGGAAATATAGGAAAACGACAAAACAAAAGAGCAAAATGCAATCTCAAACATCCAGCCCAACCTGAGCAAGCCTAGGTGACATGGACACCTAGAAGAAAATACAAGCCCATACACCAGAAATGCCTGAAATGATAGCAACTGAAGTAAAGAAATAAGTCTTGGAAGCTACAAAAGAACTCAGATCAGAAATAATCTCCCAGGTAAAAGAAGAAATGATAAATGTAATGGAAGAAATCCTGAACACATCTAAAGAAACCGGTTACAAAATTAGAGGAACAATGCAAAAAGATGGGAAATTTGAATGAAGAATACAAGAAACAGAAAGAATGCATGAAGTGGATTCAAAGAGGTACACAAGAAATCAAAAATACCATTGAAAGTTGGCCAAACCACCTCATTCAAAGTGATGATAGAATTTCAGACCTCAAAGGCATGATTACAGCTAGTGAACAGGAAAGATCTTTTAAAAATAACAATGAACCAGGAAATAGCAATTCAACAACTGCAAGATGATGCAAAGAAAAACAACATAATACTATAGGTATAAACAAAAAAAGGAAGGTGACAACACAAAAGACATCAAGAGGCTATTTACAGAAGTAATAGCTGAAAATTTCCCAAACATGAGAATCGAAACACATACAGATCAGTGAAGCATAGAGAACTCCAAATAACCATAACCAAACTAAAAGTACACCCAGACATATAATAATCTAAATCCCAAATATCCAACAGAAGAACAGAATATTAAAAGCTTCTAGATAGAAGAGACAGATCACCTATAAAGGAATGCTTATCAGAGTCAGAGCAGACTTCTCAACACAAACAATGAAGTCAAGAAGAGCGTGGAGTAAAGTACCTCAGATCCTAAAGCAAAATGACTTCCAACCCAGACCAATGTACCCTGAAAAACTGTCCTTCAAAATGGATGGAGAAATAAGATACTTCCATGACAAAGAACAGTTGAAGAACTTCATGGCCACCAAACCAACCCTGCCAAAAAATACTGAAAGACATCCTAGGCAGACATAGGAAAAAACCACTAAGCAAGGCAAACAATTACACCGAGTGCAAAGGTAAAAAACCAAAAGCAGAAAGATAACATGTCAAATGAAACCCAATATATACTAGTTATAACCATTAACATAAATGTCCTCAATTCACCAGTTAAAAGAAACAGACTTGCAGAATGGATCAAGAAGCAATATGCAACCATATGCTGCATACAGGAAACCCATCTAACCCAAAAGAAAACTCATAGACCGAAAGTCAAAGGATGGAATACAATATTGCATGCAACAGGATCTCAAAACAAAACAAAACAAAACAAAACAAAACAAAACAAAACAAAACAAAAGCAGGAGTAGCTATTTTGTTTGCAGATAATGTGAACTTCAAACCAAGAGTGATCCAAAGAGATAAAGAAGGTCACTGCATACTAGTTAGGAGAAAACTTCAAGAGGAAGAGATAACAATCTTAAATATACATGCACTAAATTTGGGAGCAACCAGCTATACGAAATAAATATTAACAGAAATGAAAAATCAAATAAGCAATAACACAATTATAACAGGAGACCTTACCGTGCCACTGACACACAGGGACAGATCAACTAGACAGAAAATCAGCAAACAAATAACAGAACTGAATCACACCTGTGCACAAATGGACTTAGTAGATGTATACAAAATGTTACACCCAACAACATCAGAATATGCTTCTTTTCAGCAGCACATAGAACATTCTTTAAATAGACCATATATTATCCGACAGAACATGCTTAAGTAAATGGAGAAGAACTGAAGTTATTCCACGCATGTTATCAGATCATAGAACCATAAAACTAGAAATCAATGAGAAAATAAACTGCAAAAACTCCACAAACATACAGAAATTGAATAATACACTTTTGAGCAATTAGTGGGTCACAGAGGAAATTAAAGAAGTGAAACAATATTTGCTGGCAAAAAGAATACAATACATTTTACTGGAACCTGTGGGATGCAATGAAAGCAGTCCTCAGAGGAAAATTTATTGTGGTGCACTCTCACATCAGGAAAACAGAATGAACCACCTGATGCTACACTTTGAATATTTAGAAAAATAAGAGCAAGTCAAGCCCAAAGGCAAAAGAAGGGAGGAAATTATAAAGGTGAGAGCAGAAATCAATGCAATAGAGACTAAGAAAACATTACAAAGCATCAATGAATAAATAAAATTGAAAGGCCTCTGGCCATCCTTATTTAAAAAAAGGAAAGAAAAACTCAAATTCATGCACTATGGAATGAAAATTGTGAAATCACTCTTTGGGAATATATAAGATCATCAATACATATTTCAAAAACTCTGCTCTCATAGTCTTAATAACACAGAAGAAATGGCCAGATTCTTAGAAACATATGAATTACCAAAGCCGGCTCAAGAAGATGTAAAACTGCTGAATAATCAAATTTCAATTAGCAAAATTGAAAAGGTAATTAAATCCCTGCCAACAAAGAAAAGCCCAGGTCCAGATGGATTCACTGCTGAATTCTACAAGAAATTCAAAGATTTAATGCTGACACTCCTCAAATTCTTCAATGAAATTGAAAGGGAAATAATTCTCCCTAATTCATTCCTGGAAGCAAACATTACTCTAAGTCCAAAACTTGAGAAAGTTCCAACCCAAAAAAAGAACTACGGGTCAATGAACATAGATGCAAAAATTCTCAATAAAATTTTGGCAAACAGAATGTGGCAAATCATCAAGAATATTATACTCCATGACCAAGTGGGATTCATTTTAGAATGCAAGAATGGTTCAAAATAAGCAAACCAGTCCTCTTGGTAAGCACGTCGGTGAGGGCCAGGAGAACATAGCTACTGAGATCTGGCCATGGAGGGACTCAGGCATCCACCTTCTTGGTAAGTGCCTGCAGTTGGGCCAGGAGGAAAATCAGAACTCTGGAGATCCAGCCTTGGAGGGACTCAGGCAGCTTATTCACCTGCCCTCTTGGTAAGTGCTGCGGCGAGGACCAGGAGGAGAGCAGAGCTCCTGAGATCCTGCCATGGAGGGAATCAGGCAGCTAATTCACCCACCCTTTTGGTAAGCACCTGCAGTGTGGGCCTGGAGGAGATCCATTACCTGTGAGCCTACTGCCATGCGGGCTGAAAGTCAAGTACCTTTCCCTGGCCTGCACCCTCTCCCCATAGCTACTAGTGATAGATGTTTCAGC